TCAGAGGTAAAAAATTATATAAATACTGTTCAGTTTCTTGCACAGACCGATCGTTTCGTGTCTTTACACATCAATGTATTGTCACGATCCAAAGGGTTTAATTTGGTTTTGTTTTTGTATGTTTTTTTTTTACTCTCAAAGCCGTGATTTCCATTCACTTCCATTATAAGACTGACAGACTGCAACGGTTTGATACAGCTGCTGTCTGTGTCCTTAACACTAGAACCGTCAGGGGTCGCTGTATACCTAAAATTGCCAGTGGGTAAATTGTACCCACACACATGACAACTGTTTTCATATGGCTAAAGAACATATTATTTCACTGTATTATGCTGTATTCAAAAAGAAGTGTCTAGAGCAGGGGTGGGCAAACTTGGCCCTTCCAGGCCACTTTCCTTCAGAGTTTAACTCCAACCCTAATCAAACACACCTGAACCAGCTAATCATTGTCTTCAAGACTACCAGAAGGCTACAGGCAGGTGAGTTTTATCAGGGTTGGATGAAATCTCTGCAGGAAAGTGGCCTGGAAGGGCCAAGTTTGCCCATCACTGCTCTAGAGTCATGAAATGATAATGTCTAGTCATCAACTATATTTTTGTCCTGTTGTTTTATTTTCAAGGCTTTTTTTATGCAGGCCACTAATCACTTTTCATAACGGTCAATATAAGCTTAACAAGCCTGCACTGACAACAAAAATTAGAAGGAAGTAAATACATATTTGGGTGGTGTAATATTATACTACAATGTCATTAATTAATATATTAAGATATGATTATAAAATCATATTAGATAATATATTAACCTATGTTATTTAAATTACTAAAATAGCCTATAGACAATAATGAGCAATAATAATTATGCCCTTCTTTCTTTCTTCGAACATAACATGATAAATGTTGAAAAATGTCCATATAATGGCAGTGATAAAGGCAGTATAATGGCAGTGTGATCAGCCTCAATCTTTAAAAAAAAAGATACTTTTTTATATACTTTTTTACCAATAATAATTCTTGAGATGTAATTGCAGTGATGTACTATGTACTGTTTTTATTTTGTTACTTTCCTGACAATGTATACGGATTTGTATCCACAAAATTTGTTGTGCTTCAGGCAACCTGGGATCAAATCCCAGCTTGTGGTGCTTTTCTGATCCCGGCCCCTTCCACCTAACTTTTGTAGCTTTAATAAAAATATTTATATTTAATTTGTACAGTGAAGTTTTATTTTACATTTGATTACTTCATTCAATTTCTGTACTATTTCTTATTTCTATTAGATAGACCTAGTCGAAAAAAATCGAACCACTCTTTATTTAATTTCTATTTTTTTTCTACCCCCTTATTTCTCAAAAAAAAATGTTTTGTTTTGTTTTATTTTATTACAGACTGTTTATTTGTCTTTAATAAACTTGAGGACTTTTAACTCACATTAATTAGGCAAGTATTAGTTTTTGCTCTGATATCGAGAATTGTGATTGTGATCGTTGTGATCGTTGTTCTCGTTGCATAAAATTACTCATATCATGATATAAGATTTTGGTACCCTAAGCAGTAAATGTCTGTGGCTGTAGTTATAGCTGTCAACTAGGGTCCTTCATTTAACAGTATAACAATCTTTATTGGAACAGAATACATCTACAGTATAATAAAGCTTTGTAATGTGATCTCCTAAAGACGTATTAGAATTCATTAGAATTCCTTACCTGAAGGTCACTTTTGTGCCTGTTACATTTAGGAATGTAAAAATATCACCCTGGAAAACACTACCTTTCTGCAGCTGGACAGATTTCCACACTACTGTTAGTAACCCGTATTCCAGACCATCCCATCCCTCCATGAGTGAAATGGATAAACCGAACCCCAGGTCTATAATTCCTAAAAATGTAGGTAATCTGAAATAAAGCAGAACAAACTCAGGGACAGTTAAGCTTTGACTATTAGCTTGATTACAGGGGAATAACTGGACTGTCAGTGTTATTCTACTTACTTGACACCATGGATAATCATTCCCCTGTTGAAAGAAAATTTTATAAGGATGATAGAAACCAATGGATTTCTTCTCCTGATCAAGCAACTCTACAGACAACCGATACTGACTTCCATAATCAGAGAGTGGGGTATACCTGCACATAAGACATCCAATAAATGTGGCTCTGTTCAGAAATTGTGTTTTCATATTAGAATCTAATTTAACACTGGTACTGTCTTAGAGGGATAGTTCATCCTAAAATGAAAACTGTTATCGTTTACACTCACTCATGTCATGCCCAACCTGTGTGACTTTCGGCCTTCTGCAGAACATAAAAGCAAATGTTTTGAAAGTTGATTGTGTTCAATATTAGACTCAATTAATTTTCATCATATGGACAAAAAAAACCCACTGAGACATTTTTAAGTATTTTTAAAACAAACTTCTTTTGTACAAAGAAGTCACACAGGTTTAGAATGCCATGAACAAGGGAGTAAATAATGACAGAATCCACCACCTAAGATACTGTGGGAGTTTGAGTAAATGCTCACCAGTCTGATATTTTGATATGAGGTCGCTGTTGATCCATGAAAGCATCACTGTAGCCTTCTTTCTTCAAATCAATCAGCTGCTCCTTAAAACATTGACTGAGGACAAAGTTGAGTTGGGTGATTCACGTGTGGATTGGATTGGTATTGGATTTATTTTCATGTTAGAACATCGACTGAAATAAAATGAGCTCAAAAGTTTCTTGAAGATCTAAAATATCAACCATACCTATGAGATGTTACAAAACATTTGGTGACTGTGTTGTCTGGAAACAGTTTACTGTTCCTTTCTGTCGCCCAGCGGTCAGCTCCATTCTGACCAATCTCCCATCCTTGAAGTCCATCTAATAAAAACATCAGAAAAGAGACACCTGATGCAAAATTCATTATAGTGACACTTATTGTACAATCCTAATTATGTGTCCTACCATCAGCTCTGGGATTCTTGAGCAGGTTACGTCTAAACTTAGATAGAAAGTAAAACAGGCGCCAGTCCTCTGGGGGGCAGGAAGCATCATACGGCTGGAACCCCTCTGTCCGACAGCGCTCTCTCCAGTGTGCAGCACTGTCCACCAGCTCCTTCCACTCATGACACACCAACCGACAGACTTGGACCACCTGATGTGCAGGCAGGTTCAGTAAGATCTCCTCAGCCACAGCCAGAGGAACAGCTGACTGCTGACCTGAACACTGACAGAGGAAAAGAAGATTACCTTTCAGTTCTAATCCTATTGGAAAATCTAGCTGTGCATGGTTACTCATCATCTATTGATTGACACTGGTCTCATGCCTCTGTCTCCCTGATGTAAAAAGTTATTACAAAAAGAAGGTTAATTTTGGACATGCAATTCCCTTTTCTACCAGAAGGGGTAAAATGGAAGGTTGTAAAACATGTCCACTGTCCCACTCTATTGAATGACACTGGTCTCATATCTGTATCTTCCTGCTGATGAAAGTTATTACAAAAAGAAGGTTAATTTTGGACATGCAATTCCCTTTTCTACCAGTAGGGGTAAAATGGAAGGTTGTAAAAAATGTCCATTGTCCCCCTCTATTGATGGACACTGGTTTCATGCTTCTGTCTCCCTGATGTAAAAAGTTATTACAAAAAGAAGGTTAATTTTGGACATGCAATTCCCTTTTCTACCAGTAGGGGTAAAATGGAAGGTTGTAAAAAATGTCCATTGTCCCCCTCTATTGATGGACACTGGTTTCATGCTTCTGTCTCCCTGATGTAAAAAGTTATTACAAAAAGAAAGTTAATTTTGGAAATGCAATTCCCTAATCAGCCACTAGGGGTAAAAAGAGAGGCTGTGAAAGATGTCCACTGTCCCCCTGTATTGATTGACACTGGTCTCATGTCTACAGGCCCTTTAAAGGGGTCATATGATGCTTTTTTAAAGATCATTATTTGGTGTATTTGGTGTAACAGAATATGTTGATATGCTTTAATGTTCAAAAAACACATTATTTTTCAAATACTGTACATTATTGTAGGTCCTCTATGCCCCGCCT